TTGTGTTAGCAAAGCTGAAATACTTTTTCTGTTTTAAATTATTTTCAAAGTCTTAATTCAGTATCGACCCTTATACTTTTGAAGTCCATTTTATTACATATCCTTTTGCATTTGGAAAAAGAAAATTATATAGTCTGGTATTTCTCTCCTAGCCCATTTCACTTCTCAGCTTGCGTGCAAGATCAATGATGTTGCTCTGAATTCACATCACTGCACAGGGATATTTAAAATGTAAAATGAATGAACTTAGTTTTTCCCCTAAGAAAACATTTGTATTCAGAGTCTTGATTCAATTTTGTTTAATCTTTTTTTTTCCCCAAAAAATTGAATTCTAAACAAAGTCTAGGCTGATATCGACCTTTCAAACTTTCTGTTATCAAAGAAAACTTTGTAGGTATACAATTGCCCAAAATTGTAGAGATAGTTATTATTGATTGATAAAGCATTTAAAAGTCATTCAATAATGAATGTTCACAATAACCTTATGACAAATTAATAGAAGTGCAATATGGCTTTTAAAATCAGGGCAAGACTGACCCTCAGGAAAGATGTAAATAATGCATAGGATTTGTGCTGTGTTTTGTTGTGGATGAGAAAGGTTCACATTAATCCTAATTCTGACGTATTTACATAATGCTTTTTTCCTTTCAGTGAGCAAGCTGATGAAACAAATACAGTGATGCAAGTGTGAAATTGTTGTATCAAAACAAGGTGCAGTTCCAGAATTCAATTCCTTAGCCATTGCTGAGGAGAATCACATGAGTAAACTGCCAGTCTGCCAATCTACATTGGTTTCTTGTATTAAAAATAAGAAATTGGAGAATACTGAGAAAGACCAATTTCCACCCCATATACCTTGAGGGTGTCTTACAATTACTTAGCAATTTCATTCTCTGTCTTTTTCTATCCAGCTTCATTCTGGAAAAATCAAATCAGCATCACAGACAGGATGAGAACTTACTGGATTCCCTGAGATTTTCTCCATGCTCAAATTTGCTAAAAAATTGGGGCAGTCTTTCACATGATTTACCACTCCTTTATAAAGGCTCCTCTAAGCTGTCTGTGATTCCATCACAAAGTTCCTTGCACCTTGTAAGAAAATCAGAATGTTACACTTTTAACTAGCAAACTTCAGCATTACAATCTCTTCTAGAAAGAACACAGAAGGAATGAGAGAAAGAGAGAAAGAAGGAAAATTTTTCATCTTTATCAAGCATATGCCAATTTAATTGTAAGTGGGTTGCATCGGTTGCAGCCTTTTGAAAAGAGATTTTTGTTGTTATTATTAATGTTCTTTGCTTGCTTTAGATGAGCCTTGAGAGATAGGATGCCCAGACCTTTCTCATCTGAAAGTGTTGACTTAAATTTAAATCATTCCATTACAGGTTTTAGAGTGCTAATAAACTTGCCACATTTTTGTATTCATACGAATAATAACTAGCTGTAGGCACTGATGAAACAAGAACCGTATTAAAAAAAAAAAAAAAAAAAAAAAAAGGTTTCTTCCGTTGAGTTTCCAGAGTTGACTGGTTCTGAAGCTCACGGGAATTGTAAAGCCCACTGGAGGTGAGGTTCTCTCAAAGATTTTCTCTGTCCCTGTACCACCTACAACACTGTGGTCACTGCAGTGCTGATTTGCTGATTACTAATTCATCTCAGGCTATATACTTTTTTTTTTCCCAGCAACTAGCACTTCATTAGGGAAAAAAAGCTTCATTATGAAAGGAAATATTCAAGAAAATTCAGCTTATGAATGAAAAAATGCTCACTTCAAGTTTCTTACCAGTTTGTTTCAAATAAAAGTAGAAAGCTTTTTAAAAAATATTTCACATTTTTTTCAAAGTATTTCCCATTTTTCTATATGTTTCCCGTACCTTTTTTAATGTTAGTCTATTTCTTAAAGTCATTGGAAGGACACAGTACTAGGAAGTGACCAAGTTTGGGAGGAAGTAGTGAGAACAAAACTAATAATACTACGCTCTGTGTCCGTGCTCCACCAAGTGACTTGTGAGATTGGGTTCCTTAATTTCACAAACATAAATCCTGAGGACACTGCAGTACTTAGAGCTATATCTTAGCAGAATGCGAACCAGCATCTGTTTCTAGCCTTCACTTGATTAAAAAAAATCATAATATTCCGATCGCAAATACTTGACTTTAAAGCTGTACAAATGTCTTTCTTGAAACTATCCTCCTCCTTTGATCTCAAGGAAACCTAACACAGGCCAAGTTTGTATACTGCCACTTTCAACCACTGCTGTTGTTAGAGGAAAAAAAAAAAAAAAAAACCTTTTTTCAGGGGTCATAAGTCAGAACCTATTTAGCCAATTTTGTTTGTGCTTTCCACCAGAGAGAAAATGAAACCATAGGCTACAAACAACCAATGGAAATTGTGGTCCCAAAGGAATTTGTTTAACAAAGCTCCAGGCATTTTCAAAAAGAAAATCAAAAGGAAGTTGGAATAAACCTCATCAGTTCTGCCACAGCAAGGATAGCACATATTTTTGCAGCAAAGATAATTCCTCCTTCGAACAAACTACTACCAAGAAAGGGAGCAGATTCTTCATGTCTGTATTGTCAAACTAAGACTAAAAGCATCTCTAGGAGATAAGCTGCAGACAAACACAGTTAAAGGAGCTCATTGCAAGAGAAACTCATGTGGTTCTACAGCTCTCTGTTATTCAGGCCTTCTGGCCTTAAGGAAGTTTGAATCTGGTTAGTTAAACATAATAAGGAAGTTTAAATAATATTTAATTAGTAATGCGCTCTTAACAATTTATTCACTTGAAGGCCGGGGGGTTAAAAAGAAAAAAAAAGAGAGAGAGAGAGAGAGAGAAATGGTGATTATTAAGGAGATAATTCCTGGGCCAACCTCATGGATGTTGCTGATATAAATCAAGAACATTTAAATAGTAGACATAAATCTGGATCAGGGTTATAAGTATGTTTTTTTCTAGTCTTTACTAAATTCTCCAGTATGTGATGTTTTCTGAATCCTTAAGAGAGAGATTTCTATTTCTTATAGCTGTCCAAATCTCTTGGAGAACAGCTGAAGTATTTTACAGTTTCCCAGCCATGAAGGAAGCAAAATGCACTGGCTGATTTGACAGAGCAGGGAACTATTTGCTTTCTACTGCGTCAAGCCAGCGCCATGGACTTGCCATTTGTGGAGGCTGGGTGCCTCTTGCAGCAAGCCTGTGAAGAATAGGAGGTACCGAGCTGGTACAACATAACTGAAGCTGGTTCATTGCTTCCTGTAGAGTGGACCTCCATGAAAGTCTGCAGACTATTAGTTTGATTAAAAAGAAATATATGAGCTCTTACTTAATTTTGGAAAAACTTGGCTTTTCCATTATGTCTGGAAAATGTGGAAAACCCTTGCTATGTACATTCACTGCAAAACGTATAAGTGTATATGTATAAGTGTATGTATGTGTGTGTGTCTTTACACACATTAAAAACGAAAAGTAGTATTTGAGAAAGCAGAGCCAACAGAGATGCTATTGCAGTGTTAGAGTACACAGATGAATTAGCTCATCTGAATTAGCTTCATCTCATGATCTCATCTTAGATGAGATAAATCACACCCTTAAATTGGTATACCCCTCCACTAACTAGAAAGGGAGAGTTGATGACTAGCTCAGGTATACATATATCATGTGTGTGAAACCTAGCTTGAGAAACCAGGACTTGTTTGGAAATTTGATGAATAGAAGTAATTTTAAAAATATCTTTCTTGCTTATATTTTAAGACATCTGTTACTCTAAGGAATGAATGTCCTGCTATACTTTCAGAATGGAAAATAAACTTGAAATAGCATGGTTAAGGGATGGTTTTGTTACAGGTTTAAGTTCCTTTCGTGATATTCACATGTAATGCTGCTGATGTCAGATTTACAAATAGGTACACGCCTTGCATTTAAAGTTAAATAAAGAAAGACCTATATTTACTAAAACAGTCACTATATATATGCATTTGTTTGTGTACACAAACACCCACAAATGTGCACTTTGAAAGTTTCGTGCATGTAGCTAAAAACACAGATTTAACTTTTAGATTTAAGACACATTTATCAATTTAAGCACATACTTTACTATTGCAGAACTGGAACTTTACTCTTTTTTTTTTTTTAAAGGCATATATGCAAAATATGAAGGAAGACCAGCCCCATCACTAAACCCTGGGGAACATCCGTCATGACCGGTCACCAGCTGGATTTAACTCCATTCACCACTCTTCTCTTGGCCTAGCCATCCAGCCAGTTCTTCACCTAGTGAAGAGTACGCATCTCAGCCATGAGCTGCCAGGTTCTCCAGAAGAAGTCAGTGGGAGACAGTGTAAAAGGAGCTACTGAAGTCTAAGTAGAGCACATCCACAGCCTTTCCCTCATCCGTTAGGCGGGTCACCTGATTATAGAAGGAGATCAGGTTGGTGAGGCAGGACCTGCCTTTCATGAACCCATGCTAGCTGTGCCTGATCCCCCCACACATACTGTGTGATTGCCCTCAAGATGATCTGCTCCATAACTTTCCCAGATACCAAGGTCAGGTTGACAGGCCTGTAATTCCCCACGTACTCCATCCAACCCTTCTTGTAGATGGACATCACATTGGCAAGTCTCCAGTTGTCTGGGACTTCACCTGTTGACCAGAACCACTCATGTTCGTGTTCAGTATACATACATGTCCAGTATAGCCAGTTATTCATCTATGTTCAATATTTATGTAGTTGTAAAATAAAGACAAAATAAATAGCTGATACACTAGTGTGTAAGAATTTGCCAGTTATGTCTATTAAATGAAACATTAATTCAGTTCCTCCTATTTATTATAAATAAGCAATAGTTTTCATTCAGACATTTGTCTGAAAATATGATAAGCAAATAACACTTGAAAAAGATCAGTTTAGCATGAAGTCTCACAAAAGCTGTTATAAGTGAGTAACTTCACATATCTAGATAGACTTTCCATGTGTGTTTGTAAGAATCACATAGGCAAATGATACCTGTTAGTGATTATTTTTCTCTGTGCTGATGCATCTAATTGGTCAGGTGTATCAAAACTTCTTCTGGGCACTTAATGCAAATGACAGACTTGACCAAGCAGGCATAACTACCAGGGTCCTTGCAAAGGGAAACTTGCACCTGTCCAAATAGGTTCCTGCAGATAAGGGTTACCCACTTGCCTTTCCTGGAAGTTTCCCAAAACTGATCCCTGGCACAGGCTTACATCATTGAACAGAGTGCTCAGTTTGAAAGCAAGTTCTGGATGGGCCCGATAAATTCAGCCAAAAAAAAAAAAAAGTCCATGTCTCCAAGAAGCATGAGGAGCCCTCATTTTTCTAAAAAATTAGCTCTTAAAGCTTGAAGCATTTCACGCAAAGTCTAAAAGATAACACTACAGATACTGCAACTTAGAAAAAAAATATGGTAGTAAGAACAAAGAACAGATCAGAAGAAAGGAATATTTTTCTGCTCTCTAAGCTGACGAGAACCAAGGCCTGGAGAGAAAACATGACTTACTTACTTAAGGTCACACAGGAAGCCTGTGACAAAATCAGAAATTGAAATCAAATTTCCTGGCTTCCAATCCATTGTCTCAGCCATAAGAGGATCTTTCCTCTCTTGTTGATTTAATTTTTTGATTTATCTTTTTGCATTCTGAAGCATCTGGTTGACTACGAAACAAAATTGTTCATATAATTATTGTAAATAACTTACATTATATTTTGATGCTATTTTCATTGTTCATATGTGTCTCAGATATTTTGAAAGGGAAATCTCTTATACAAATGCACTGGTGCATTGATTATAAACACTACATAAAATAGAATGATTAAGTTTTCTTCCTCAATTTGCACATAACTGATCAATTTCAAGTGAATATATTATTCTTTTACACAGAGATTAACCTTGGGCACTTCAAATAATGTCTATGTCTACGTACCACACTATCTATCATTTACATGCCTTGTTGTTCACTACCAGTTCCTCAGAGAACATAACAGTGAGCATGCAGCATTTTGGTATCTCTTACAGAATAATTCTAAAAATAATGAGAGAACTGGCACACACCATCCAGATCACTCCTTCTGCTGCCCAAAAAGAAGCCACTGTCCTCATTTCCACTAGTACTATAGTGGCACCTCAAGGTAGAATAACAACATGTTAGAATCAGTCACAGGCTCTTCATATGCCTAGTGCAAGGTAGTTAGTATTAAGACAGAAAAATGCAGACTCAGAAGGTCTGATCCTGTAATCTCCTCTGGTCTACAAATCAATGATGCTAACTCTTTATGGGTGACAATTACTGTCATAAACCAGACCAGGGATCTCAGTCTTAAGAAATGTCATTTTGTACAGTTCTGAGCTCTGCAGTGCAAGAGGTAAGTGGAGCTTCTAGAGGGGGTCTAGCATAGAGCCACAAAGAATTCGAGCATCTATCTTATGAGGAAAGACTAAGCAAGCTAGACCTGTTTAGCCTGGAGAAAAGAAGATTGAGAGGAGATCTTATCAACATGTACAAATACCTGAGGGGAGAATGTAAAGAGGGTGGCTGGGGCCAAACTTTTCTCTGTGGTGGCCAGTGACGGGACAAGGGGTAATAGGTACAAGCTGAAACACAGGAAGTTTCATCTCCATAAGAGGAAGAACTTCTTTCCTGCGAGGGTGACAGAGCCCTGGAACAGGCTGCCCAGGGAGGTTGTGGAGTCTCCTTCTCTGGAGATCTTCAAACCCTATCTGGATGCCACCCTGTGCCATGTGCTCTAGGTGTCTCTGCTTGAGCAGGGGGGTTGGACTAGATGATCTCTAGAGGTCCCTTCCAACCTCAACCATTCTGTAATTGTGATTAAGTGTCATCTCTCAGTGAGGAGATGACACTTAATGACAATTAACTAAGAAAATGTGTCTTCTAGATTAGAATCCCAAAGACTGCTGGGATGAAATATAAAAAAATCCTAACTGGGAAAGAAAGGAGAAAGTGGCCTTTCTTCAGAATGTCCTATGTACTCATTTTATTCATGTAAAGAGCAAGAGACAATCTTTTTTTTTCCAAGCAAACCACACCAGACAGGGAGCAGAAAATTTATCTATCTATCTGAATCATTTGAAGATGCATTATGATACATGGAAACAATAGAAAAGACAAGCTTATCTTTATATCTATGAATATACAGAAAAGTTCTGAAGGGACTTGAGAATTTCTGATGTGCAAATTCCACAAAATTATCCAAAATTAAGCTGTTCCCAGTTTATCTAAAATTGGTGTTTTGTTTGTTGGGGAAGTTCAGGGTGTTTGTTTGTTTGCTTGTTTGCTTGCTTGCTTACTTATGTTTCAAGTGAACAAGACAAGTTATGGAAGAGTAGGCCAGTTGGGAAGACAGATGAGTGTGTGTTTGGTGCAAGTCTGTCTTTTCCTGTAATGGAGCATTGGAGTTCATTTTTCAGTTCATGTGATAGTTTTCATGCTGTTTTAACACAAATCTTTTAAATAAATTATACTAATTCTTGTGGCAGGGACCTTATCTATTGAAGCATCTCTGTTAAGTTAGCTTTGTCTTCAACAGAGCTTTTTAGCACACATAAATAGCATTCTCATATACACATACATATAGGCTGCTCATACTCTGTACGTTCTTGAAGGAAAAGAGCTCCTTTTTATTTCTATCAGTGATAAAGGGAATATATCCTCTGGAAGACCTTCTCTGTAGAAGCTGTTTATTCTAGTTCCTGTGACGTCAACCAACTAAATATTCTCTGGATTTCATCATGATTAGGCAAAAGGAAAGAAGGCATGTAAAATGTTCATGGTCTGTAACATCAAAAATGTCATGACAGAGGTTGAAATCTGGAAAGAGTATCCAATTTTGGCTTCTTAAAAAAAGAAAAATCATGTTTTGAATCATGTTTTGAATATAAGAACATATTTAAGAACATATTTATTTTCAATCTGATATAAAATGAAAGTGACATATTCTAAATATTAAGGAGAAAGAGCATGTCATTAGATAAAGATCATCCCAGAATATTAAAAAAAAAATGGTGATAACTTAGATGCAGGAAAATCTAAATCCACGTCCTTATTTTAGCTGATTTAGAGCAGAAGATGTCACTTAGACCTGTAATGTTTCATGCAATTATTCTGATGCCAAGGTTGCAAGGATCCAAGGATGCCAGACAAATAATTATTTCTACAGATTGGAAATAAACCCAGAAAAAGAAATAGAGACTACACTTATTCCTCTCTCCACCATTTTTAAAATATGGACTAAGAATTCCTTCCAGCAGGATTTCATCAAACAAAACACACTTGTTCAAAGCATATTTTAATGCAAAAAAATATATATTTTTCTGATCTGCATCTGAAGTTTATGGCTTACATACTGAGGGGTACTTCACTGAGTAAAATGGCAGCTGATGCATTTCACAGGACAGCACCAAACAAAGTAAGAGAGAGAGATGAATTCTAGTGAAGCCCCGTTTATTCATTACAGAATAATATGTCATGTATTGCCTCTCTATTTTCTTGTGATGTTTTCCCAAGAATTGAATGTGTTTTCCAAAACATGGAGATTCCTGGAATAGAGGTTCGAAGTAACTTAGATATTTATTGTAACTTTAGACCCTATGAACCTGCCTGCCTCTCCCTTTTTTTGTATTCATCATGGGAATCACAATTTCTGGGGCTATTGAAAGTTTGAAACAGTGTTTGTAAAAACTTAGACTCTGATAGATTTCAGTACCAAGACTGTTCAGGAAGACATATGCAAAAGATGGGTTATAATTTTCTCATCTAACTACATACGCTAGACTGAGTAGAATATTTCCTTTACTCTTCTGGAATTACAACAGTGCCTCTTTCAGATGTTTATGAACTAAAGGGATTCTTTCGCAACTTTCAGGGCAAAAAGGAAGAAGCTTGTCCAGGAATAGCAATCTGGAGCAGGAGTCAATTTTTACTACTGCCAGGACCCCCAGTAAGAACAACAGGATTATAGAGGACCTACAATATTCCCATTTTACAGAGGGTGAGGATATGGAGTGAGGATATCATAAGGATACACTGGACCTACTCTACAAGGTATACATGCAATATATACAAGGACAGGATGAAATTGTCATGAAGAAGAGCAAATTTTCAACATGAACAATGGTTTACTGAATCCAGGTTTTCTTTTCAGTCACAAATTACTCAGTTATTTTAAGCATGGATAGAGCACTCATAGAGAAATAGCATTCTTTACCCCGTGGGGAAAAAAAAAAAAAAAAAAAAAAGGAGAATGGTAAAAGATATATACTACCCTGAAATTTAATTTGCTAGTTGAACTACTTATTCTGCCCCTCCATACCTTCTGTTAGAGAATTTGTTTATAAAGGAGAGATCATTCAGTAAAGGAATAGATACCATACCACTTGACCTTTTTTTCAGATTAACATTCACAAATTAGTAGTGTGGGGGATTACTTCAAACAAACTTGTGAAAACAGGACTCAGTGCATACCCAGGATTATAATGACTGCAGATATTTTAGTTTTCTCTGTTGAAAAAAAAAGAAGAAAAATGGACAGCAGACATATAGTAGTTGGAGAATGTCACACATTTCCTATACACATCTGAGATAGGTGGATGAGAATGGAGGAGAGCAATGTATTTTGAGAAGTTACTGGTTAAGGTTAAGAGAGGAGATCCTTTACTTTTGCACAATCTGGCATAAAATCAATGAAAAATTCAGATAGAAAATGGGACATGACAGTTCAAAGAAACAAATACCCCAGACATCATCCTTCAATTTCATCTGTCCTTTCAGCAGTCACAAGACCAAGCAAGTTAATCGGATAAAGTCAACAGGAAGAAATAGACACATGAGGAATTGCTTCATCCAAGGACCTTGAAATTTGGACAATTTGAATACACTTGGTGATGTAGAGATCATTTCTTATTAATAGTTCATCAATATGCATGAAAAATATGCATATAAATTTATATATGTAAAAGGTATGAATTTGTCAGTGTCCTGTTTTGGAGACAACAAATGGATCAAATCTAATAGTCATGCTTTAACCAATACCGTTCAGAATACAGAGATCTGTCTCTTATAAGAAGAGAAATTAGAGAGTTATTTGCAGAACCTATATTTGAGCTACTACATTCTACTCGCCCTAAGATCCCCCTATAGTAAAAAATGTAAAAAAATAAAAAATAAAAAAGAACTGTCCTCCAGACAGGCAATTTAAGGCATCTTACTTAGTTAAGCTTATGCTCTGAAATTCTCACAGATCGTTTTGTTGCTATTCAGCATGAACTTTATTCCAAAGCATAATATATTTTACTTACTTTAAGTGAGTGATGAATACATACCAGTTGTGTAATTAGAAAAGCTCAAGTCAGTGAATTAGTTTTTCTAGTAAAGATTTGAACTTGCCCCAAGACAATATCTTAAAAGACTTACCAATGTAAGATTAAGAAGATGTTATTTCTTTTCTTGCAATACATCAGGAAGACTAAGTTCTGTAGAGGCAGCATATTCTTTTAACTAGACTGCTGGAAGAAGCATCTATTCATGTGATGAAACTAAACACATTGCTAGGGCATTGAACAGTCATCATGATAAGCATGTTTCAGATCCAAGAGAAACAGCATACTTAGTGCAGAACTACAGCAGGACAAAATCTCATTTAAAAATGACATCTTTACCAAAGAACACAGAAGTGTGACATTCACCAATCATAGAAGAAAGCAAAAGCAATATATTGCAGAATACTATGAACCGGACATTCAGATCACTGTCACTGGAAGCTGGCAAAGAGAGAGGGATATAAGTGAAACAAAGCTTACTCAGATGCATTGCTTTCAAACATTACAAAAACTTGATTTTTAAATGATCTTTCACCATACATTTATGTACCATGATGCAGCTTTCAAACACGTTGTATCTATGGAATCAAATACGATTTTTACAATACATCATCAAACAACAGAAAAGGCCTTTCATTTTAAAAAGAAAATAAATGATTTAGGCTCCATTTTTCAACATTTAATGACTTCTAGTTGTTTCCACAAGGGGCAGAAACCAATACAATTAGGAAAAAATATTTTCATGATGCAAATGCTCTCCCAGTTTGGGCCTCATTTCTTTGGATGTAACTATGTTTGTGAGCCTTTCTGCAACACTGTGATTTACTTACACAACTCTTCTGTGTGCCTGTGGTGCAGCTGGTGTGCCAGAAGTAGGCAAGAACAGCACCAGTGTCCCTTCCATTAGGAAGCAGGCTTTCAGATAAGAAACTGAGACACAGAAAAGTCAAATGACTTGCTTCAAGCCCCTCATAAAGTCTGTGCCACAGTCTCTGTTACAAAGATTAACCTCAATCTAATACATCTACAAGATCATGCTTTCTTTTGGAGACCAATATTTAGACAATGTACTTTGCATTTCAGTTAAGAATTCACTTTTTGTAATACTGTTCAAGTAAATAACAGCAACTCAGCCTAAATTAACCATATCTTCTTTTTCTTCCTTTTATCGTAACTCTTCTGTAATTCATAATCAATAGAATCACATTATGCGCTCACACTCAAGACTTACTATAGTCAGTTGGGGCAAATATTTCCATTTGAGCATAAATCCCTGAAAATTGTTTTGAAAGAAATGCTGACCAGCTTCTCATGCATAGCTTTAAATAATAAAAGGTTCCTGGCTGGCTCACTCTCTTAATGCCATCTAACCACTTTTGTTCCACTCATTACTAGAACATCATATGACTTAACATATGTAAAGAATGTCATTGCAGAGGGGTTTCTGGAACAAAGGAATATTTTTCTATAGTTGGCAGTTTTGGTAAGAATTCATTCTCTAATCCACAGTAGTTGTTAAATTCACACACACACACACACATACACACACAAAAACCCTCTCTTTCTTCAGGTTTTTAACCAAATGCCCCATTCTTTGGCTTTGTGTCTTGGCCCTCTGTATATCTTAAATCCAAATGAAAGTATAAAATCCCACCCTCCAAGCTTCTGATTGCTTTTTTTAATAGTTCAGTCCCTGAGGGGCTCAACTCGTTATTGAAATAGTTTTCTTTAATGGGCATTTTGTGCTTTTCCCCTGGGTTGTTTTGCTTACTTGGAGTGGTGAAGGCATGCCAGTTCAAAATCAAACACTGGGGCAAATGCTACAAATACATTGCCCAACATGTGGTCAACATTTAGACAAGTACATAAAGCAGAAAATTATTCTGAGCATTGAGGAGAAAACTCTTCATTCAGTGTTACAGCAGATACATTTTCTACCTTATAATTTAGACTATGCTGGCAGTTTCATTATGTATTTCCAGTGCCCAAAGATACTAGTGTTATATGTTTGTCCCAGCACAACACGCAAACTGAATCTTGCCTTTGGATGAATGTTCAACAGGCACAATGAAGGGCAGATGTGTTCCGTAGGATCTTGGCTCTGTCAACCCACACAACATTTGAACTCTGAATTTATTTCAAAGGTCTCAATACTTATTTAGCTGATGCTTGGGAGAGGGTCTGACACATGTTTTAAGCCATTGTTGGATTGCTAATTTCATTAGAGTTACTTCTGATTTACGTGGCTGTAAGTGACAGGGTCCAATCCATATAAAACTGAATTGGAAATCTAAGGAGTATTCTGCCAGATTTCTGATGTTACACCCAGCAGGAGACTATTGAAGTTGTAAGCTTGGAAAATAACTTGCTAAGGGAAGGCAGATCAAGAAACTTTTTAAAAGGAGAGTGGTTACTAAGAGAGTTCCTTAAGGATCAGCTTTGGGACCGTGTTTGTTTACCTTATTTCAAATTTAGTGCCTAAGTCAGTCACCACCAAGTACTTTATTGAGTGCTATAGTGAATTCCAAATATTTTAGAACCTCACATTTTCTTAGCAGTCTGTTATCCTGTGAAGTTCTGATACTAAGTCATAGTCAGTCTTTTGTAAATACATGCTGCAATTTCAATTTTCACACTATCATCATGTCCTGATCTATCTTCATAGTTTGTTAAACAGTAATGTATTTTACTGAAAACAAGCCATCAGAATTGAAGTCTCCAGGTTATTTTTTCTGCTTAGGATACTCACTTTATCAAGCTTTAGGCCGTTGACCATCTAGTTCCCACCTAAGGACCACCTAAGTTCCCAAAATGGGGAAGAGAAATGGGGATAGAAAGACTCTATTTGAGAGCAATTCAGAGTTGTAAGAAAGATTCCTAGTTTGAATTACCTTCTAAAAGGATTTGTCTCACTACATTAGCTGTGTAGGTTCATTTGCCTAGCTAATTAGGCATCTGAACAAGAATTTTCTAACCAAATGTTACCACCCTTAATCTGATTTTACAAAATCCTATTACAGTGCTTGTAATTTCCTGCACAAACTCTAGCATTAAGTTGTTTGTGGTTGTTTGACTCATATGAATATTACTGTATTTCATTTTTTTCAAGTGCCCTTTGGAAGACAGCATCTTCCTCTTCACGTCCCCACAAACCATCAACCCCCTGAAAATCAGATTTCCAATACCTAAGAAAGGAAGAAAATAGCCCTTTTATTGCAGTTCTGTTTAGGTCGTCTGCGTAGATGTCCGAGTAAAACCAAGTTTATCTTTCCAATTCCTAACAAGAAGCTAGGAGATCTCATTTCTCCAACTTATATTAAAACATGTGTGATACCTGGGCTAGCACCATTCCAGCCCACTTCTCATTATTAGAAGAGGACTCATAGGCTTAGTTCCTGTTGGTTGAATTAGGAGGAGATAGCCAGGGGGCCTGAAGAAAGAATAGGTATCTCATGCAAGGACCATTGACTTTCCAACATTTATTTGTCTCTATGATTGCAATGCCTAGTACAAAAGTGAAGCTTATGCCTATTTCACCAAAAAGGAAATCAACTGTATTAAAAACAGTTCTATTTAGATATGCCTTGCCTAGGAAGTCTGAGATGTATGTTGCGTGCTGTTTAAAGCAGGGAAATGCAATTCTGGCATGACTCTTTATCCTAATTCACTGCTCTGTGTTTTTTTTTTATCATTTTTTTATTAATGAAAGGGAATCTAGTTCAGCTCCCACTTAAGTCAATGAAAAAACTACAAGATTTCCAGGGAAGTAGGAAGACTAGCAAAAAGGGAATATCACTTTTCACTTTTAATTTCATTCTAGATTATGTCAGTAACTTTCATATTATTTAAAAACAATGGATTCTGATTTTAGATGCATACACAGTTCCCAAAGTAAGATACGATTATTGTTCTGAGCACATTCTGCAAAAGCTTCATACTAAAAGCATGAAAAAACAGCACCCACAAGAGAGCAATCACAATTACACATTGTTAAATTTTGCATTATTTTTTTTTAATCAGCTTCTAGATCCCATTGGGGCCATTAATATGCTGCTCATCTTTCTTCAGGTTTGAATCCTTAAGTCAGTAGCTAAGATTCTAGACAGATTATTCACATTTCATGTTAACCATCAGAAAATTCATGTTGATGCCTGGCAGCAGCCTAAGTAGCAAGAGCAATGTCTCAAGTTCTGCTTTCTGCCTCGTTTACAAAAGCTAATCTCTTATTGCAATCATGACAAAAAATGACAATACAATGTTGAATTAGATTTAAGCAATCATTTCAAAACTCATCCTGGAAATAATTAGTTGGGGAACAGTAATCAACTTCATACATATCAGCCTATAGACAGACTAAACAATATGAAATTTGCCCTAACTCCTTAATGCAGCAGCCTGGAAGTTTCTCTAACAGGTATAAAATCTAAACAGCTGTTGTTTTCTATGTTCCCACTAAACAAACAAAATATCAAAGAATAAAATAACACTTCTTAGCCTAAAAGCCCCAAATATCCTCAAAGGAAGCCCTTGTGGGTGGCAAAGAGAAGGTTCATGATATGTCTCTAGTTGTTGGGTATTGCCATGTGGGGTACTGTTGAGTTACCTGGAAAAGAGCATTGCTCTAATCAGTCCCATCCTGGGAAGGAAGTTACTGGGAAGCATCTCCGTTGCTGATATGATTTTAGAAAAGCAAAGATTCTTATTCTATTGCGCAAAAATCAAAGACTGGGTTGAGGAAGTCTAACCCCATTGCTCTACATCTAATCTGAAGAAATAAACAAATGAGACATGTCTTTTGCAAACTATGGTAACTCTGTTGCCTGTTTCAGGTAGGAATGAGCACTCATATCACATGAGAAGTGTCACAAAGGATTTTTTTAACTTTACATTTTTAATGTAAATCATTGCAAATCATTATCATGCAAAGTATATTATATTTTAATTGAAAAATCATGTTTTCCTGCTTTTTACTACCAAGAACATTTTCAGAAATAATAAACAATGAGAAATAAAATATTTTCTGTTGTAAGAGATGATAAATCAACTCCTCTCTTGCTTCTCCAATTTTTTCCTATATGTTCATCTGAATTTATATATAGTAACTGTATTAGTATTATGGTTCATATAGATTGTTTGCAGTTTGCATCAATAACAGTGACCACTACAGATAGTTTACAATATAAAGCACTGATTCATATCCTTTTAAAATCTATGGTTAGTACTATAAGTCTGAAAGGTAATATAGAAAATATAATAATACATATATAATAAATAATAAATGCAGCCCATCTACTGTTTATCATTCAAAATTGACCTCAGGAGGAAGGCAAATAGATATGGATTTTGATTACATTCACTTTAGATTCTGATTTAAATCCTTTATTAATAAGAAAACTGGAAAATTATCCATTGACATGGATTGTTACTATTTTATAATTTATAAATGCAATTCTAGCTTTTCTGGTGCACAGGAAACCCAACCACATCCCTATAATCCTGTACATTTCTATGAGGTCTAACATATAAAATTTGTTTTTCAAAGGCAATAAAGAAAATCATGGAAAAAATAGTGTTATATGTAGGACAAGCAATCCTGTTAAATATAATTGAAAAATTATTGAAAAGATACTGAGACCTAAAATTGGTGACAATTGTATTTCTCTTTGATAAGATGGAAAATATGAAAAGTTTTTTCTTTGAAAGTCAAAGTGATTAAACAGGAAGTGGGACAATTTCTAGAAAAATGATAAAGAAAAGACAACAGGAGCATATATTTAAAACTTACATAAAGCTTATATTATTATATTACTTAATTACATATGAGAATAGAATATTTGTCATTCATGTTCTTAAACTTAAAGAGTATTTTATCAAAGACAATATTTAAAGTTGTGTTTTTCCTTTGCAAGGAAAGATGAGAGACTTTTTTTTTCAGTTCATATCAGAAGTATGAGAAAAACAACTTTTATAGTCTTCGAATAGTCTTCTGTAATCTTTTTTCAAAAGTTTCGTTGCTGACTCAATTTGACATGTTGACTTTGGTGCCCTCCGAGTGTTTTTTTAATTTTTGTTTTACACATTCCAGTTTCCACATGGAAGGCCCACAGCAAAGACCACAGCAATGCCATACTGTGGCTTACCCTCTTGCACCCTCAGCTGCCGCATGGACATACAGTGCAGCACCAAAGGAAGCAAGTCCTGATCCCAGCTGCAATGCCCCACAGCAAGGCGGAGAGGGGAGCTGGATCTTTACAGGGCATACAGACTGATCTTCTGTGGTTGGTCCACTTGACCTTACTAGTACTACAGTGAAC